CATAGCCACTAATTTAAATTTAAAAGGGCGATGCCAGATATCTTATTCTGTAAATTTAAGGAAGATTATTTTCATTTTTGAGAAAATTTTATGAAATATAAAAATAAAAAAGTTAAAATGTATGTATCTCTTAATTAGATAGTTAAGGGTCGAAATCCACAGATAAAACAAAATCAGGGATTCTATTAGATGGGATTCATAATGTTCATTATATTATCTTTTATGAGTGGTCTTTGGAAGGATGATCTTGAGTCTCTGAAGGGAACACTAATGTCTTCATGTTTTTAATTGGCACAACTCAAAACTAAACCAGCTTTAGAAAGAGTAATTTCTCTTTTTGATTTCATCTTATTGGTGATTATATTGCTTGAGTAATATTTGTACATCTTATTTTTCAAAATGAGTATGTTAATAGTCTTAGAATTACCAACATTAGACCGTGGGGATGTCCAAATGTCTGTATAGTCTATATGGATTAGTTACCAGGTGTAACCTCCCTAAGTTTCTGCTCCCATCCCAATAATATGGAATTATCCCAGCCCTGTTTCTGTGTAATTTCTATTTTAAAGTCTGTGAATCTGTCAGTTTCACTGAATAAAGTTATGAAACCACAGAAATGATCGACTATGCTTTGTTGTGGGCTACGTTATCATAATATAGTACCCTCCTTTTCAATTTAGAGAAAAGATATTGTACATACCCAATGCATTTCCTCTATAATATCCTCCAGCTTCACAGGCTCATGTTTGCACTTTCCTCTTGTTAAAATTGCAGACAAGAATAATTTTGATTTATTGGTGACATCTAATATAGCTGTGTTTATATTGTTGCCAATAAAATGACTTACACGATTGGTTTTTGTTTATACAATCTTTTCTGAGGAATCAGTCACCTGTGTTAGGACAAGGTACATTCTGCTTATTAAAATGAACTCCTGGGATCTAAGAACATTCAGCTCTATCTGTCCTTGACTGAATTGCAAAATGTGCTTCACACTGCAGCCGTGCCTGAGAATAACTTATATTACCTATCAATAAGCTTTTCATTTCTATATTCTTCTGGCTACAAAAGCTGTAACTAGAAAAGCCCATGGGACTTGCATGGGCCTATTAATGATCAAGGCATTGATGTTAAAAAGGCGATGTTAATGAAATTATACATTCATTAACCCAAAGGGAAAAAAAGAAAAGAATCAATAAAAGCTCTATTTTAGGTGGCGTAGACATATAAGAAGCCAGCTCAGGAGCAGTTTGTTTGCTGACCAGTATTTTGTGCCTCATTATCAGGTTTTCTATGCAGGGTAAGAAATGCTTGTGGCATAAGGAATGGAAAATGTAACAAAGGCTAAATGTAGCCTAAGGAAATGAAATGATGTATGAAAATTAATAATTAACTGGCTCATCAGATGAATTATGACTCTAGATGAGTTTATTAATGATATTTACTCAGAAAGGGCTTTTGGCTGTAAATAGGCATTACAGAGCTCGTGTTTTTGGAATTTTCTTCAATGGATGAGTTAACATTGCTTTTTGTTTGTTTAATCTTTTAATCTATGAGAAACAGTGCCTGAGCCTTGGGGAGAAGGTAGAGTCATGATTTTTGTAGTTTGATTAAAGTCCTAGGTTTTTCAGAAAATTAGAGAAATTGTGAAATGGCTTTGTGCCTTAGTTTCCCAAGGAGTTAAGTAATTTCCTCTCTGACCTGATTTACAGGAGGGTTTTTTTAAGAGTTTGAAAGTGGTCAAAAGGAAAGATTTATTAACCCATGTTGACTCATATAGCAGAATGAATATTTTTATTGTTTGAACCAATGGAGTATTAAAAATCTAAATGTATCAATATGTCAGATCTTAAGTACTCCAAATTTGTATGTCTGGATGTTCCTTGCTTTTCCTTTTTTTCTATTTTTTGATACCATGGGGTAGGGTAGAGTAGTTGGATGGAGGACAGAGAAAATAACTTAAGTTTTTAAATACTTGCTCTTCCAGTGGAACCCTCCCAGTTAGGTTTTGATACTGATTAGTTGTGATTTTACTTTTTGACAAAGTGTAGGAAAATTTAATCCTAATAATCATTTCTTAAGGTAAGTGTTGTCTTTCAGCACGTTGCTGGCATGAGAGCCTCCTGTGAGCTCTTGCTTTAATGGAGTGGGTAGAGATTACTATTTTTGCTTCCATGTCTCCCCAATTCCCTTGATTTAAGTGCCACAGGTATAAGGTCTACATATTTATCCTTGATCATAGTAAATGGGTATTTTTGATAAGCTTCCTTATCTTAATTATCTGAAAGAACAGAATTTCAAGAGACTCATGATTATCACCAATTCTTCATTTTATTGATGAAAACTGTAAGTCCAGAGAAGTTATAAATGATTGGCCAGCAGTAGAACTAAGGTGTCCTGACTTCTAATTGGGTGCTCTTTTCACTCTGACTCAATGAGGATGTCTTTCTTAAAAGTTAGCAATTAATTCCTTTTTTGTTACCACGTAAACTTAGAATTATACATGATTATATGGCCTAGCTAAAAAGTGTATAAAATATTATATAATATGAATAGACAAAATTGATGTTTAAATTTTGGTATCTAATGTTTGACAAATCTGTTGGCATGATTAATGTGAAAACTGAATTATTAGGCATACTTTCACATATAATTTATTTTATTTTTGTCTTGAGACTGCTTTTTCTCAGCTCACATGCCATTGACCTATTGGTTTTTCTTTTATGATATTAATCGTTTTAATTTATGGCTGTTGCTTTTTTAGTAATAAAATTTAAGTACAGTTTTGTTGTTTTTATTTTCAACCTAAAGCTATTTAATACATGAGTACGGTTTGTAAAAAAATAAAAATAAAATAAATATCCAGTCTGTCAGGCAGGTATGAGTGTCTGATAATTAAGTTCTCAGTGCTTTAATTATTTTCCCTTCTCACCAACTTACCTTACTAATGATCTAGTCTAATGCTAAGTACCTACTTATGTGTTTTTATCCAGATTTTTTATGATAATTCCTTTTTGTATATGATCTTGCTGCCAAGAATGACTCTCTTATTTTTAAAAACTTGGAAATGGGCATAGCCTACAAATTTGCAGATACTTGTCACTTGGACCATGGTCTTAGTGACTCATATTTCCAGTCATGTTGGATAGTTCCTCATTTTCAACAAATTGCCAATACAACATATTTATTTTGCCTTCTCTGTTTGGTTGGTACTGAGTTAAGTGCTTTCTTCTGCAGGGTGCAGTGTGCAGGGTGCTCAGAAAACACTGTTTTATCAGAGTGGAGAATAGATGGGCAATATAACCTGGCAAAGCACAGACATTAAATGATTCTTACCCACAATCAACCAGTAAATCAACAGGCCAACTGGTAATATACTGGAGTTCTTCTAAATTGACACAACAGAAAAGGCATTGGAATTTTTCCAATGTAAAACAAAACAAAACAAAACAAAACTTACAACTGTCTGATACCAGGGTTCATTTCTTATTATTCCATAAAGAAACTTAAATGATGCATGTTTGGATAAACCTGATTTATTTGCCCATTCTTGGGAGCTATAGTGAAGGGAAGGGCAGGAACAGACCTAGGTGTGCTTCTGAGAACTAGGTGGCATGGCAGTATTAAATTTCACAGACTGATAGAATTCTTAATAAAATAGAGAATTGGTGAAGATGAAGGAAACATTCCAAATTTTATATTGTTAGTAATTTTTGAAGTTCTTTAACATACGGGCACACATAGTCAACTTTGCAGAAGGCGCAGCGAGTGCTTGACTTGAAAATTAAATTTTTTTGATTTTCTAAAATGATAAAAGAAAAAAAAACTTCACAAAAAAGTTTTCCCTTTTTGCTATCCTGTCCTTGACGATTGATGGAGCCATTCATTTGGAAATTGATTTGGAAATACTTGTCTAAGACATTGAGTGGGTCATACCGAAAAAAGTAGAAAGCATCCAGTTGAGGATATCTGGCTACCATTGCTTTATACTCAGTCTATGTTTCCTGTGTTTGTTCAATTTTGGCTCCTTTCCATGACTGTCATGTCTCTATCAAAGAATACAGATTGTGACTGTGTTTGTCATTCATTAGGAGTAGTGGCACTTAGCTACCTCACTGACTATACACTTTTGGTTTATGTCAGTACTTTTGGTTCTTCTCTGCTCCTTGAGGAAAAGGGTGGTGGGGGTTGCAGATGGAAGCTTCATGTAACTATGGTTGATTGAGCATGTGTAGCACATGGTGAACTACTCATCTTTAGAAGAACTGTTCTTTCTTTATACTTTTCATAAAGCATTTTTTTCTTTTCACAGACTTTTCCTTTTCTAGGATCTTAATGGCATGTGAGAGTATTGTGATGTTGATTCTATTTCCACGCCCATAATTCAGGATCAATATGGAACCAAGATTCTAATGCTGCTGTGAATATTTGGATATGTGGATATATGTAGCCTTTGCGAGAGTCCCAGGCTTGTGTTTTTATCTTTTGTGAATCTAGGGACTGAAAAATTTGCTCTTAGAGTGAAAATCAGAGATGGTTTAATGTCCTCAAAATCTCATTTAGAGGTGATATCTGCCATTTGTTTGTTTGTTGAAAACTTGGAAGCAATGGTCTCACAGCTCATGAAGGTAATTCAGTTTGGTTTCCCAAGACTCACTGTAGCAAAAGTGAACTAGTATGGACAGATCCTGTAGGAAGCAAAATAAGTTTCATTTTGCAAGCTGGCATCAGTAAATTGGTTGTAGTTGCCAAGAGCCCTGTATTGAAAAGGGCTCAGTGGCAAACAATACAATGCAGTGATCCATAATCCGTGTCGACCATGAAAGCAGGAGAGGAGAGTGCCTGCCAATGAACCATGTATTTGATGACCTATATGAAAAGGCCATTTTGCTAAGAGTGCTTCTTTTCTTCCTGAGATGAATACTACACAGGTTGAAAACTCACTGTAACTTGTTTTCCATTTTACTTTTAAAAATGCCTGCATTTATTTTTTTGAACAGGCTAATAACCCACACCATGGATAACTTATTGGACTTTGCCTGAAAGGAGTCATTAGTGCTTTTGGATATTTGACCATCCTGGCCACAGGTTTTTTCAGAATGAATGGAAGGTCATGCAGCATGAATCTCCAACGGACATCAGGACCCCCACAGGGGCCTGGGATGGTCAGTGGCCAACACATTCCTCCCATCCGAGCCCACTCGGGGACTCCTGGCCCCCCGTCCTGTGGCAGCACACCAAGCCCTGCTATTGGAAGCCTTGCTAACAGTCTCCATCTCAAGATGCCCTCAGGAGGAGGGATGGTTCCTCAGAGCAACATGGCTGAGAGCCCCATCCATCTGCCCGCCTTGAGCCCCAGGAGACAAGTGCTCACCAATGGGAAGTCACGATTCCAGGTCACCCAGGCTGGAGGCATGTCAGGGCCACACACTTTAAAGCCAAAGCAGCAGGAGTTTGGAAGTCCTTTTCCTCCAAATCCTGGGAAAGGTAGGATTATCTTTCTGGGATCTTTTAAAAGTGGAAACTATATATTTTTTTTCTCCCCCTAGTACCTTCTCCCAGAGAATCCTATGGAAAATACATGATTCAATGACAGGGTCAAAGTTGATGGTCTCATAATGATATGTAGCTTGCTCGGTAACTGGGAGGATGTGTATATATGTGTGAGGGGCAGGGGGCCACAGTGGTAAATGTGATATCTCCTGGAACTGTGAAAATGAGTAGAAAGTAATACAGAAAAATTAGAAATGAGAAGGTAGGGTGGTGGTGGTGGCGGAGGGGAAAGATCAAGTTTAGTAAGATCCTACCCTCTGGATACACAGAGCTCTGCTCTGGCTCACCGTGGGCTAGATTCTGCAGGCCAAGGAAGAGAGAGGGGGTGTCTGGAACCGCCATTATGCTAGGTGGATGCTAGAAGAAAGGTGGGATTTGGCAGGAAAAGGATAAAAAAGGGAGAAATTTTGATAGTCAATAAAATGAGGAATTAATACATAGAAATGATAAAAAATTATTCTAAGAGCAGAACCTATAACTTTTCTAATATAGCTAGTGACAAGAGAGAAGAACGTTAGAAGAGAATAATGAAAAGATGTATTTTTTGTGCTTGTGAGAACTAGAAAACCTGGCTAATCTGAAATGCAGAGAGAATGTACTTTTAATCCAATAGTGTTTGAATTACCATATATTTTATTTTACTTATTTTATTCTTTTAATTTTTATAAGAGTTTATTTAAGCTAAAACTGATGACAATTGATGGGAAGCAAGATCTCACATGCTCCAGAATTATCATATATCTTAAATTAAAGAGTGATTGTTGAAGAATAGCAAATTATTTGAATGACACACTCTCTCTAGAAATTGGTATTGAATTAATGAGATTATATTGCAAATGATATGTGTGCTTGGGCTAGAAAAAGAAAGAGCATGTATCCCATGTAAAATAGAGCTTTGTTGTATAAAATAGCACAATTATATATTCTTTTAGGTATTTTTAGCATTTGGTTTTAAATGTTTATATTAAGTGTTTATACCACCAAATAAAATTACTAGCAGCCTGTGAATAGCCATTCACCCAGTTAACTTATAACTCACTCAGTTATGGTGAAGAATGATTTATATCAGGCAAGTAACCAAAAAGTCGCTTTAGCGTCTGTGATTTCTGTATATGGAAAAGTTGGTATAAATGGATAAATTAAAACAAAACAAAACCCAAAAGCTAAATATATGTGTAGCTTTTTTATTTTCTTTTTTATCGATTTATTTTGATCTAGGTTTGGCTTTTTTATTTCTTAGAGCGATTGATATTAAGTATAAGAAGGGCTTTCCCTGGGGACTGCATCCAAAATAGGTCTGTCATTGTCAGGCTGCTATGTTCATGGTGAGGCAAGCTCAGTTCTTCAATGTCAAGCTCATGTGTTTGGATTTTTAGGGGCCGAGGTCCAGTAAAATCTTTCAGCTCAGGCTTAACTAGTGAACTGTAGCTTGCTTTGAACTGTAGCTTGCTTTTATATATACTTGTGTTTGAAATCGTGAGTGGCAATAATAATGGTTTTGATATTAATATCTTGCATTTATTATATCATAAATCAGCATGTGTCACTGTGTTAAGTGCTTTCCAATACATAGTCTAGTTATTCCTCATAGCAGCCCTGCATTGTATGCTGCTGTTGATCAACTGAAAAGGGAACTAGGGTCTAGAGAGAGAAAGTACCTCAGCATTGCCAGCCACTAAGAAGTTTGGGAGTATTGCTTTGATGGTGATCAGAAGTGGTTATAATTGTAATAATGGTTTTAAAAAAGTACTTCAGCTCCCCGATTCTCCCCTTTTCAGTTTCCTGGCTCCTTGCTCAGCTTCCAAGCGTACAGTGCCTGCTCTGGATCTGCATGGTTGGGGCATGCATGATCATGGATAAAGGGTTGAGAGCAACTGTGTTATTATTCCCCTGGCCTTGGAGCTTGGATACCATCAGTGATCTGGATGGTGCCAGGAGTGGCTGAATGTGTCCTTTTCAGATCTAGGTTGACAGTGCTAAACTAAGCCAAAAACGGGTTGAGAATGGTGATCTGGGACTGTTTGAACTTCATCCAATCATTTACTCAACAAATTATTATTGAGCACATATTATGGGTGAGCCACTGTCAGAGGATACAATAGCCAGTAAAACAGAGTTGCGGCCCTTAAGGAGTTGAATTCAGAAAAATAAATGGGGAGTTAATATAAAGCACATTTAGGGCTCTGATAGGAATATACTCAGAGTGATATTGCAACATTTGGAGGGTTCCCAGCCGGGGCTTGATAAGTGGATCTGGGAGGAAAGTAAGATTCCTAGGCACGACACCTAAGGATGAGGAGCTAGCCTTGTCGTCATGCAATGTGTATGTCCTGTGTGTGGGTGTCTGTGTGTATGTGCGTGCGCGCACACTTGTGAGGGGGCTGTCTGGAACTTATTCTGGGTCGACAGAAAAGCATACCAAAACCTGAAGGGGAGAGATCATGGTGCATTTCATGGACTTCCACCTGATTCCACATTGCGGGGCACAGAGACTATGGTAAGAGATGAGGCTGGAGAGGAATAAGTTGAAGCCAGATGGTCATGAATGATACACCAAGGAGCTTAGATCTATCTTGAGGACACTGGCGAGCTATGGAAGGGTTTTAACCTTGGTAGTGACTTGATAAGCTTGAGGTTGACGTTTCTCCCTGACTTTGTCATTGCTTTTTCATGGATTATTAACAGTGCCATGACCCAGAGGGATAGGTACCAAAGAACCTGTGACTTCGTGGGCGTATTACTCAGGCATATTACTCAGAGTTCCCTAGAGAAACAGAACCGTTAGGTGATACATCTATATGTCTATGTATGTATGTATGTATGTATCCATCCATCCATCCATCCATCCATCCATCCATCCATCCACCCATCCATCTCAAGAGACATGTATAAAAAGATACACTTGCTCATGTGATCATGGAGGCTGACATGTCCCAAGATTTGCAGGAGGAATCAGTGTGCTGGAGACCCAGGAGAGCTGATGGTTTAGTTGTAGTCCAACTCCAAGGCCTGAACTTGGAGAGGTAATGGTGTAGTTCCTATCTGAAGGCCAGCAGACCTGAGACCAGGAAGAACTGATGTTTCAGTTTGAGTCCAAATGTAGGAAAAAGCCAATGACCCAGTTCACAGTCAGTCATTCAGGAAAGAATTCTCTTTCACTTGGTGTAGGGCCAAACTTTTCTTCTATTCGGTTATTCAACTGAATGGATGAGGCCCACTCGTATTAGGAAGGCAGTCTGCTTCATGTGGAATAGGAGATGAAGGTGGTGGTATCCAATGTGATTCCAAGGTTTGAAAAGTGGTGAGGGTACGATTGGAACACACATCCCATTAGTAAATTGTAGTTAAGAATGAAATAAAAAATACTTTTATTTTTAATTTATGTGTATTATTTTTTCTAAACAGCTAATATGTTTTTAGTACATAAATACTATTAAGCTGTTGATACCTAACTACTTAATAAATAGAAGTGTTTGGTGTTCTTTTCAGCCTAGGGTCAGTTATCAAAAAATTACCAAGACTTTAAGAATGCCGTGAACTGAGAACATTTGGGAACCTCTGTCACAGGAGTTGATTTTTCTCACACAAAGAGCAAGCCAGGGTAGGTGATGCTGCTAATGGCTGGAAGCTCAGGGATGTCAAGTCCAAGATCTTGGAGCTTCTCTTCATCTTTCCATCTTGGTTACATAGTAGCTGCCTCACTCCAGCTCCTGCTATGAAGTCTGTCTTCTGAGAAGGGTGAAGGAGAAAGGAAGAAGGACAAAAGGCAAAAAGACAAAAGTGACAACTCCCCCAAATAGAACCCTTTAACAGCTTTCCCAGGAGTCCCACCCGACTATTTCCACTTAATTAGCTTATCATACATAACTTATCTGAAATAAAGCTCAGTCTTTCTGAATTTATCTTTTTTTAAAAAGTTAGATTTTGTTTTACATTATTATGTATTATGCTCTTATATTACATTGTATTTGTTTTAGCATTTGCCACCTTTATCTCTCTTTCACTCAAGTAAGTTGAACCATCTGTCAGTAAGTTGCATTGTAGCACTTCATCCCCAAATTCATAAGCAGGTAATTTCATGCTATATAACCAAAATGTATTAATAATACCCAAGGAATTTAATTTTGACACAATAGTATTATTTATATGTAGTTATATCTTAAAATATAGTAAATATTCAAATTAATTTTATGTTGTTATTTTATATTTTATTTTACTGATCATATTATTTATAATAATTATTCTTTACCTGTAATCCAAATGCCCTTTGTAGCCATCTTTTTTCTTTTGATCCAGGATCTAATCAAAGATCATGCATTACATTTGGTTGTCATGTCTCCTCTTAACCTACTTAGATCTAGAACGGGCCCTCTCCCTCTGTCTTTTCTTTGTGTGACAAATAAGTTGATATTTTTAAAGAGTTCAGGTCAGTTGTCTTGTCTCATAATCTTCTTGGTCTGAATATTTCTTCATGATTGGGTTCAGGTTAAACATTTTTGGCAGGAATACTAGGTCGGTGATTTGTTACCATGCATTGCGTTACACCAGGTAGCATTGAATTCTCATTTCTCTTAGTATTTGTGGTGTTGCTGTTTGACCACCTGGCTAAAGTGGTGTTACTGGCACTCTGCATTATGAAGGACACTTTAACTTTCAAAAATCAATAAATAATCTTCTGTGAATATCTTGTTCTCTAATAACCTGTAGCATCCATTGATGATCCTTGCCTGAATCAGTTATTACATTGTGGATTTTCTGATTCTTGCGTTCCTTCTGTGTTTATTAGTTGGTATTCTTCTGGAAAGTAGAGCTTCTCTCCCCTCTCTTTTTGAGAATCACTGTAGACTCAGGTATTCTTTTAAAAAAATTTACTATAATTCATTACCATCATTATTCTTTCTGATGCTCAAATTGTCCCAGATTTGGTGAGCAGG